AGGGTCTCACTGAGTTGCTTAGGGCCTCACACTTTGCCAAAGATGGCTTTGAAGTAGAGATCCTCCTGCCTCAGCCTCCCAATCCACTGGGGTAACAAGCATAGGCCACAATGACCAGTGGATTTAACATTATATTCCTACTTTTTCAGAATACAAACAAGTTAGCAAAAAGAGGACATCAGCTATCAAATTATCACGACTGAGCAGCTGGGCATGATGGCAAATGCCTGTCCCAAGAGGCTGAGACAGAAGGAGTTTCAGACCAGCCCTAGGCAACACAAGGAAAATCCATCTCRATAACAACAAAATTTACATTCCTCAATGATTTTTAATGACATTACCTCTTTCACTGAATTTGGTGATGGACTAAAATTCTTGGCAGTTGATTTAAAAGCATTAAAGTTGCCAACACCATATGAAGATTCATGAGGGAAAGAAGTCCCAACCTTATTTTCTTTAGTTTGGCTTTTCCACTGTGTAGGCTAAAGAAAAACACACAAACATTAATGGTTATCAAAAACAGGAAACGTACATGTATGAAGACATGAACTCGGTGTCAACCTACTTGGATATGAAAAATTGTGGTATATATGTGTAATAAGAATTGTAATGCAAAAAAAAACCAAAGTACATGTATAAAGACATGAATTGGCGTGAACATACTTTATATACAAAAATATGAAAAATTATGCTCTATATGTGTAAAAGAATTGTAATGCATCCCGCTGTGGTGTATTTAAAAAAATAAAATCAATTTTAAAAATTGCTTTAAAAAAAGTAACAGACTATAGAGGAAATAAACACAATAAAGATAACTACATTTGGCTTTAAAAAAATTTTTAATATTACTCCATCATCCCTACATGGTTTTCTATTCCTTTTTCTATAAATAAATTCAAAAATTTGACAGAGATATAAACATCTATTATCCAAAGTACATGTATGAAGACTCAAATTGGGTGTTAACATACTTATTTATATATAAATAGAGATATGGAAATTTGTGGTATATATGTGTAATAAGAATTGTAATGCAAAAGAAAAAAACAAAATATATGTATAAAAGCCTGAATTGGCATGAACATGCTCTATATACAAAGATATGAAAAACTGTATTCTATGTGTAATAAGAACTGTAATGCATTCCGCTGTTGTGTATTTTTTAAAAAAAAATCAAATCAATATGAAGGGGGGGGGGAGACACATCTAATTAATTCACTATTTTTTCAAAGTTTTATAAATCCAAAGGCAGAGGATTTTTCAACTCATGACGATTTCAAAAACGTAAAACTGAAAAACCAAGTAAACATATACATATATACATAAACTTACATATATACAATATATACTTTTTTTTCTGTATTTTTTTTAATTGTTGGTAGTTCAAAACATTACATCTATTTTGATATATTTCACAGTTTGATTCAAACGGGTTATGAACTCCCATTTTTACCCCGTATACAGATTGCTGAATCACATCAGTTACAATATATACATTTTAAGCAAATATATCACAAGTACCACAAGGACAACAAAACTCACAGGAATACACAGAGAGAATTAAAATTTGTAGTATGCAATGGCCAATTCTTTCCACCTAGAAGTCTGCTAGCACCCCATGAACAATCCACATCGTAATATCATGCTTCTAATATTTCCCCCCAAAATTAAACAACTCAAAAAAAAAAAAAAAAACCACTCAAAATTTGCATGTGTAGCAATTTAGAACTTACTTTTGTAGGTGGAGCAGCAGGTTTAGGGACTAAGCCTTTATAAACACTCGGACCAGTTCCATTCTTAACTGGCTGTGACTGAAGATTTCCTACTACAGGGAATCCAGATAGCTGTAAGTCTTTTGTATTACCTTTCTTAATGACCAGCATCCTTGGAGCTCTAGATTTAGGATTCGGAGGATATTCTGTATAAATAAAGCACAAATAAGAGTTACACACAGTCTCAACTTTTAGATTAAAATAAATTCACCTAAGAATATTATATTTCAAAGCTTGATTACATTTTAAAAACAATACTAACAGAAGATGCTTCATGAGTAAAAGTTATTAAGCTAAATAAGTACAACTATATATCAGTATAAGAAATAAGCTAGAACATAATCTCACAGAATATAGCAAGAACTGAGCAATGTCAATACAGATRAATTTAGTTACACATAAATGAAAAGCCAAGATGAAATTCTAACATTTTATTAACTTATTAAAAATGCAAATTTCATCCTAATGACTCTTAACATGTAGAATATGAAATACATTTGTATTTTCCCCTTATCCACTTTAAAAAGAACAAAATTTTCAATTCCTTTTTCATTCATTTCACTTATAAAATTATCAATAAGCAAGAAACAACACTCCCTCTGTTTCTTTTGAGGTTTCTTTTTTTTTTTTTTCTTTCCTAGGTACCAGGAATTGAACTCATGAGAACTTGCTCACTGATCCATATCCCTAGTCCTATTTTGTACTTWATTTAGAGACAGGGTCTCACTGAGTTGCTTAGCACCTAGCTTTTGCTGAGGCTGACTCTGAACTCACAATCCTCCTGTCTCAGCCTCCCAAGTCGCTGGGATTACAGGCATAAGCCATCGCGCCCCAGCCAACACTCCCTCTCCTTCTAAATACTGAATTAAATTATTTAAAATAAGTAATAAAAAGATCCTATTTTCCATAATAGTAATACATTCAAATACTACTAACCATCCAAATACATGCAAGATATGAGTTCAAGAGAAACCAACAATTATGTTTTCTGAAGATACTAAAAGGAATAACTGCTAACTGGAGGCTCTTTTCAAGACTTCACTTGTTTAAAACTATGAAACACTATTCCTAGAGTTTAATMAATTTGTATGTGTAGTCAAACATGTGTTACATATCTACATGTTCACATTTATTGTATGTGAAGTATGTCTTTCTTTCCTCAAAAAATTCTGAAAGCACCGGTTTCATAGTTGAAAAATTCAGAAGAATCAACTTAAGAAATCTCAGAAAATCTAAATCTRAAAAATAGCTCCACATACTAAAGATATCCTATGAACCAGTGAGCTAGGTTGACATCTGTGGTACTCCCCTGCCCTAAAACAACACCAAACTTCCTACTGGATCACCTCACCGTAACTATATAAGAATACCWGGAGGTGAAGTTTCAAGCTCTCTAAAAAATAAAGCTGGTATGGTACTTTGCCTATTGCCATTCTGAAGAGAATAAAGGCTTAGAACAAACTGAGAAAAGATTCGTTTTTCCAAAAATTAGCACCTGCTGATCTGCTAGGGCAATCAGTCCGAATTCTTGGTTATCTAAAAATGCCCGATTAAAGAGCTTTAAAAAAAAAAAAGTTCAAGCACACAATGACTCAGAAAAGTATTACTATCAATGTACATAGCTTTTCTGAAGATATTATACAATGAAGTAAATGAAAAAATAACAAAGGCATCATAACAGAACAATGAACACTAAAACATACTAAATAATACAAATTTTCCAATGATCACTTATAGTAAATAGATGATGACCGCATGGATAGAGTATTTTTAAAAGGTTCTTGGCTGGGCACAGTGGCACACAACTGCCATTTGGAAAATCAAGGCAAGAGGATCACAAGTATGAGGCCCACCTGAACAACTTAGCAAGACCCTGACTCAAAATTTAAAACAATAAATGAAAGGAAGTGGAGGGGTGTTGGGGGGGGCGGGGTAAATCAACCCTGGGTTCAGGCCCAAGTACACCAAATACCACCAAATTAATTTCAAGAAACTTTTTAATTAACAATATGGAAAAAATCTTAGCTTATAAACTTAAAATCTAGACAAAACCCAAGAATCTGAACAATTGCTTAGAAAACAAGAAAAAGTAATATGTTTGCAAGGCCTCATCTCAGAGGAATCCAGATGCTGAAACACGGGGCTGTTCTTTTTGTATGMCAAAATTATCTAAGTTTAAACATAACTGATGAAGATTTCTAATTCAATGTGGCAAAGTAAACAAATATATCTTTCTTCCCTTACAATGGGGAAGGAAGTCAAAACAGTATAAATAGGACTGGGATCATCATCAAGGGAATGATCTCAGCACACAATTCTGAAGGGACATATAAAGGGAAAACTTCAGCTTTAGAATCTGCACCAAAAAATTTAACAGATCAGAAGCAATCCATTCTCCCCTGCAGAATCTCAAAAGATTGAGATTTGGACATGCCAAATATGGTAGGGAGCAGAAAAGAAACTTTCCAGATAAATAAAATCAAATAATGCACCAAGAGAAGATCCTATTCCAAGGAATGTGTTTTACACAGAAAGAAAAGGATCCCATGTGGAAGGTTAAAGATACAAGAAACAAAAAATATCATATATATGCAATCAATGATTAAAACCAGGGAGACAGAAGAAATGGAAGGTAAATAAGCAAGCAAATATAATCTTCAAGCCTCAAATCATTTCTGACTAGCAATTTCACCTTTCCTAAAATTGGATTCCTTGGAACAAGAAATATTCTTACTGTTTCTTCATTGAGGTCCTCAGTGCAAGAATGGATGGAATGCCCTATAAAGAAGAAAGGTGAAGCCTAAGAAATTACTCACAGAAGAGTAGGTGGCAAAGTAAGAGATGAAGAGAGGTACCTAAAGGAAGACAGTGATTGAGAGGTAAGAGAAGCAGAGACAAAACTGTTGGGCTTATTAAGCATTCATATAAAAACATCATGGCTCAGATTAATATGCTTTTTGGAAATGATTTATCCAAATTTCAATACTAGCTCCAACCTTACTAGCTGTACAACTTTGCATGTTACTTTATCTTTCAACTATAAATTGAACAGTTTTTTACAAGAGTTAGAGTTACTGCAAAATGTTTAACGTTTAAATAATGACAAAAAACAAAGAAGCCGTATCCTTTCTTCAATAGTTACAATTCAAAGTGTCTTTTCACAAGAATTTTAGGTTAACACAAGAGAGTAAAGAAGAATGAGAAAAAGAGAGACTTGATAAAAATCAATCCATGTTGTAAATTAATTATTCTGAATAACCTAACACCTCATTTAAGATGAAGAAAGTGTTTTGCTTTTAATGTATTTTTCTTTTTTAGTTGTAGTTGAACACAATACCTTTATTTTATTTATTTATTGTTATGTGGTGCTGAGGATCAAACCCAGGGTTATCACATGCTAGGCAAGCGCTTTACTGCTGAGCCACAAAGCCAGCCCTAAGAAGAAATTGTTCTTAGAGGTAGTAACTGCCTATAGGGATGAAAGAAATTTTCAATTTGCATCACTTGTATCTATTGTATGTTTTATTATTTTCTATCTATTCACAGGTTATCTCCACAAACTGCCTTGGAACAAACTTTTGAGGTGTTGAAGCTTTTTTATTTATATTAATACAGGGTATTGAACCTAAGGACTCTCTACCACTTAGCTACATACCGAGCCCTTTGTTTAAATTTTATTTTGAGAGGAGATCTAGTAAGTGCTCAAGGCCAGCCTTGAACTTGGTTTCTCCTGCCTCATCTCCCAAGCAGTTAAAATTACAGATGTGTGCCATTCAAACCCAGCAGGATTTAAGCTTTTAGATTCAAATATTATCCAATGTCTGTTTTCTCAATTGGCAAACATAATGAAGASAACTCAAAGTGCTTAGTCCTTTATTACTGAAAAGATATTAACACCTTTAAAAGAATTAGAAAATAAATGACCTTAGTGATTTCCTTCCATAAACTGAATGTTTATTATCTCAATCTCTTGTAAGCAGATATTCAGATAATTTTTTTAAGTTAAAAAAGTTGAAAATAAATGTGTCTTGGATTTTCAATCATTTTTCTCTAGCCTCAAAAATAACTGTACTCTGACAATAAATGACTTTAAGTATCATTTTGTATTGTATGCTCTCCCCATACCTATGAATAGAAGCATTAGTTTTATTCCTTAAATAGGACATCAATAGTAGAAGAAAAGCAATCCCATTATTGAGAAAACAAATTAGAATACTGCTACATATTATAAAACATATTATTATCTGGTCATAGATAATTCAAAGCTTACTTCTCAAACTTCTTTCTTTATACTATCTGCACAGCTACCTACTATATACACTAAGTTTCTGATTCAATCACTACATTAAGAACTTCCTTCTTTGGCTAATAATCCGGAAACTTCATTTTTGCCTCTTAATAATCCCAAGTAGAATCTCCCTCCAATTGCTGGACTTGAGCAAAATAATTAGCTGACATTTACTAAGCACCTGTGRCCTGAAAAGTTTTTTAAGTAGACAATTTAAAACTGCTTTTTCTCATTATTGTAATCATCCTCATCTCACAGAAATTAAATTATATGTCCAAATACAAATAACCAATAAGTAAAATATCTAATGTTAGGGCTTTCCCTACCTGATTCCAAACCCCTGTCCTTAGTCACTACATTACTGGTGAAAATGCAAACTAAGATAACACCATGCCAGATATTTAACAATGTTTACCATTCTCAACCAAAATTACTCTAATGAATGGTCTGGATAAGAGGCTTCTAAGCGTGTACTACCAAGTGAAGTCAGGGTCACTACACTTTGAAGACAGTTACTCTCTAAACCCAAAAGGCAAATTTAATCTGTAAACAAATGCACATAAGCAGTGAAGGGTAATAATATTTGGATTAATTTTTCAAACCAATTTAAAGAAAACTTGATCATAATACCATCTCCACCTATCAGATTCAGGGGATCTATACCAAGCAATTGAACTCCTAATGTGAATAAAAATTTTAGTATAGAAAAATTATCTACTTAACAATTTTTATTAGCAGATGGGGGGGGGGCAGTACTGGGGCTTGAACCCACAGGCACTATATCACAGAGCTGCATTCCCAGTCATTTTCATTTTGTTTTATTTTGAGAAAGGTTTTCACTCTGGCCTCAARCTTGCAATCCGCCTACTACAGCATCCAAAGTAGCTGGGACTATAAGCACATGCTAAAATACCTGGTCATAAGATTATTTTAAAAGGTATCTTAAAATCTTGATGCTTTGTCAATTTTGCTAGGATTTTTTTTTTTAATTAATGAATCTGTTTTGGTTCATAGTATTATGAAAGTTTTAATCAAAGGAATTTCACTAATTGTTGTCAATAGCAACCAATACAGTAATTTTTTCTTTAAATGAGGTTCAACAGTATTCATAAATAACAGCCTTAAAGAAATATACCATGAAAATGTAAACATGATAAACAAATGACATTTCTGACTCTGATCAAATGAAATGTACATGAATTAAGTTGTCTACTTGCACCTTTTTTTCCCCTTTCTCAACCTTTGAACATGTGTTATATTACCCTTTTTCTTCTTCCAATGTTATAATTTTAACTGTTTTCATATGAGAAAGACATTAAGGAAAATGGGATCATTTCAATATATAAACAAAATGACCAGTCAGCACAATACCAAAGATTATTACCTTTCTTTAGCTCTATTTATCATACTTCCTAAAAACAATCTCACTGTTTTTCATCACTATCCACCTTTTTTAATGCAACTACCTCACTCTACATGAATGATTCTGGCTAGTATTATTGGAATTTAGATAAAAACAAACAATCCAGATAATATGTTTTGATTTAGAAAGCTAAACAAAAATAAATAATAACAAGGAACCTTTATACTTGTAAGTAGTATATCAAATAAAAGCAACATTCAGGAAAATTCATCAAATTATCAAGGAACACACATATGAACAGAAGCAAACTATTTTTATTACTAAATTAATTACTAGTGACTGAAATTTTTCATTATTATCTTAAGCAATAAATATTAAGACAGCTCTGCCAAAGATATGTTGCTGAATACTGGAGCACTCTGACATAAAAATAGGGAATAGGGCTTATGAAAATTTACAAGTCAAGAGCTACTAATTGAATCTCAAATTGCATACATACAACTAAACACTCATCACTCTTTCTCACCAAATAATTTAACACAATTATTTTTAAATTCTCAGGAAAACACTAAAGAATGTTGAGTTCCTGTTTTAATCTTTTTTTTTTAATAGCTTAGTATTTCAAAACTATTTAAAGGCATAATCATAAGGCTATGTGAATATTTTGGYCTAGATATATACACAATCATAGTCTATATCATGACATCCTCAAAATACAGCCCTCAAGCAGGTKGTTTTAATCTTATTAAAAACATGGAGATAGATTATTAATAATCATTATTCTTATGTACCAAACAGCTGTGGTCCTGGTTAAGACAAAACACTATGGAAGTCACAAGTATAAACTGCATGAAGGCATTTCCAATAACCAAGTGAGTTCTAAATACAACTAAAATTAATGTGAACTTTATTTTAATGACTTACTTTCCCTCAAGGTGTTTTATTTTAAATTGTGACACTATGTTCAGGATCTACCAATTTTTGCTATATAAAGTCAGTTTCAAGAATAAATCATTTTTTATTTTTATACAGATTACATTTTCATTAGTAAATTTTTACTTACCTGGAAGGAGGTTGCACTAGAAAAGTTCTATTGAAGTCTTTCCTAAAATTCTCTCGTCTTCCTCAGGAACATAGCTATTCTAAATGTTGCAATGAGGAAAACAATACTTGGGAACCCAGGGGGAAAGTGAGAGAGGAATAGTGAAGTGCCATACAATGAAAGTTTCATTGTATTCTTATGGGAAGTACTGGGAATTTAACAATTAACCATGCCATAATTAACCGGTTTTCTTTTTTTCTTTTTATAAACGCAGACACATTTCTTAGTTTACCTAAACACAGAGTACACCTTCCATTTAAACATCTCTTCAACTAACACTCAAAAATTCTTAGATCAACACCGAAACAGTAGAACCAAAAAATCTTTATAATAATACATTTTAGTCTCATTATTTTCAAAAGATGTCTTTGCCTTTAAATCATTTCTAAAATCAACCAAGGATCAGTACCAATAGTATCAACAGGTAGTTTTATATGACAAATGTTCACTGAAATTCTTGACTTTTTAAATTTACTTTCAGYCTAATAAAATCCAAATTATTCCTAATTTCTTAGAAATTCTATTTAACACCTTCCAGGTGGTTCTATATTCTTATGCAATCATCTGTTCCCAGAAAAACTGAATAATAAGGAAACATACCTAAGAGAGGAGCTTGGGAGATTTTTTTGGTTGGGTATGTGTGTGTCTGGGCGTGTAGGCCTGGGGAGAGTGGTAGAAATACTAATTTGCAATACAGAAAAAACAATGCCATTCACATGGTTCTAACAAAAGTGTCTGACCACCCCCACCCCCACCCTCAAAAAGCCCGTAAGTAAAGAGGGAGATAAAAGAAAACAAAATAATTCCCCAGAGTTTCACCCCATAAATACAATTAAGAACAGCACAGGAAGTGGCAAAGTTTAAAATAATGCCTTTATTATTAGGAGGCGTATGCTATCATAAGCCACAATCCTTTTGTTTTATTAAGTTATTAATATTCAATAGAAAAAATACAAAGAACATGTGCACAAGTTTCAAAGTGGATACAACACTTTGGATTTGTTTCAAATGACTAAATTTACTTTTCAGATGTCAAATCTGATTTTTAAAAAATTTATTATAAAATATTCCATTATTTTAAACTTCACTTGAATTTTTTAAAAGCTGTCTAATTTGTACTATGAGTGCAGTTTACTCTTCYGTAAGATGCTATCAAATTAAAAACTCAGCAGTTTTAAAGAAAGGGGAAATATTACCAGAAACTCTCATTAAACTTTGAAAATTCAAAAAGGCAAATAATGTCAAAGAGTCTAGTTCCATAGATAAATTTATAGAATTATTTTTAACACTATGTCTAATCCATTTTCATAGGTAAAGATTAATTTCATGACAAACTATAATCAATCACAAGTACTTATCTTTCCAGTTAACTAGGTTTTCAACTATGATAAACTAAAAATTTAAACTTTTGTTGTTGTTGTTGTTTATAATTATTACACTGTGCTGAAAATTACATCAATTCAACAATTATTTCYAAAACCTCAATCAAACTGAGTATACTTACTGGTGCTAATGTGCAAATCAACTATTTCAAATCAAACTTTCCTTCTACCTCAAATTTCCTCTTTAAAAGTGTTACCTTTATGTAGCTTAGCATATCAAAAACAGGTATTTAAAAGAAAGTATTATTCTAACTTTTTTACTTAAAAAAATGAAAGAAAAGGGAAACCTAAAAGTATCAACATTTTGTACCCCTCAAAGATAGATCAAAAGGCACTTACCCCATACACCTGCAGCTAATGATTTATTCTGATTTGGTTCTCTCTCGTATTCAGGATTTAAAGATGGCTAGAAGGAAATTGAAATAAAAAAATATATATTTTAAAGTAATCAAACATTTCCCATTTATAAACAGATTTCCTCATGAAAAACAATTTTATATTAACTCTTTAACTATTAATAATGACCAATTACTGGTAAACCCTACTTTGAAACTAATGTTAACCATTAAAATCCTTGTCTATATTCACTGTTACTAAAAGGGGAAAAGTAGCATTATCCTTTTCCATGGCTATGAGAGGAAGAAAATTGGGTAGAGAGAAGATGTTGGGAGTGTGGCTTGGTGGTAGTGGAGTGTTTGCCTAGCATGGATGAAGGCCCTATGTTTGAAGCCCAAACACCACTAAATCACTCACATACTACCACCACCTGTAGTCCAGGAATTCAACACAGCAGCAAATAATACAACGTAGTCATTGCAATCTCAGATTTAATCACTACTCAACATAAAACTGAGGTCACATAAGAGAAAAATTAGACTACTTCCCAATTCTATTGGCATTTTATCACTGTATTGCTTTAGTGAATACAGTCATTCTCAAAAGGTGCAGATTTTTATTTCAACAAGTGGTGCTCTAGATCATTAACAAGAAAAGAAATGAGCACTGTATGGGCACTCCAAAGCTAATCTATTTGTTTATTCATTTCATACAGTGGGACTGAACCCATGGGCACTTTACCCTGAGTTCTATCCCAGCTCTTTTTCTATTGTGAGGCAGGATTTCCCTAAATTGCTTAGAGCCTCGTTACATTGCTGAGGCTAGGCCTTGAACTTGCAATTCTCTTGCCTCAGATTTCGGAGCCACTAGAATTATAGGTGTGCAGCACTATGTCCAGCTCTGATGCTCATCTGGTTAGATAACTATAATCTTAAAACTTTCAGTATTGTATTCTTCATATTACCTAGCAACACAGCCTCTCTCGATAAAAGAAAATACTCAATAAATATCAAATAAAATTAACCCAAATATAAACATTTTAATCACCCACCAAAGTAAAATAATTATTAGCACTGAACTGACATTACTGAAAAGCCTCAATAGTATATGTGCATATCAGTATGATTCATTCCTTCATAGATATAAACTAAATACAGTTAATACTTTATTGGTGGATGGATGTGTGTATACTATTAAATATATAATTAGAAATTAGACTGCCTACATTACAAGTCTAGGATTATAATAACTGATAACCACCACCTTGGGGGTGGAGGTGGGGGATAATAACAACTATTCTATTAAATGTTTGTTATGTGCTGTTCACTATTTTTGATTCACCTGACCACTCATTTAACCCTCACAACACTAACAGAAAGCATTACTTCTCAGTTTGGCTATAAAAATTCAACTTTATGGTGATTATCAAGTGGAAAAAATATACTCAAATGGAAAGGCAGATAGATTCTATATTAAAAGTAATCTTTTATTCTTCTTTTCTCTTATCACTCCTCTGCCCTAGATCCAACCTACCTTGGATCTTTCCTTGCTTAAAGTCTAAACTACTTCCCATTTTTTAGTTGTTGATGGACTTATTTATTTATACGCAGTGCTGAGAATCAAACCCAGAGCCTCACATATGCTAAGCAAGCACCCTACCACTGAGCCACAACCCAGCCCAGGACAGCCCCATTTTTTAAACAYTATTTTTAACTAGTCTTCCTTCTACCACTAAAAAACACTCAAGATCTAACAACTGGAATAGTTTTTGTACAAACCTAAAATCCTTTGCACTACCTTATTTCTTTATTCCTTCCAGTCTTTATTTATTAATCATGGGGAGCAGGGGTGATGCTGGAATTTAAAACCCAGAGCTAAGCACACTTCTATCAATGAGCTACCACCCTCAACCTTCTCCCACTTAACAAAGCTTATTCTTTTCCCTATCAAGTTCCAGATTAAATGCCAATTTCCTGGAAAAGACTTTCTCAAATTCCCAAAGAGCCCACCCACTTATTTCCTGTCAAAATTCTCTTCAAAATATAAATTACTTTCTCTTTTTATGTTCTAAATGCTACCACTAGAATAGAAACTCAGAGCAGGAACTGCTTGTCTTATTCACATATATATTCTATGTACCAAGAACAGCAACTGTCTCACACAGTCACTCAAAATATATAATGAATAAGAATTAACAGCAAATATATAAAAAAGGTAAAAGTGCAAACTGTCTCTACCTACAGTGTATAAGATTTAAATTATCAGGAATGAATCATAAGAATAACAAACAGAAGTGCTCACTACATCATTTTTGCTGTAACTCGAGCAGCACACTGTTTAGATGAGCCACACTGTTAGATTTAAGAATASAAAAAAAATATGAAAACTCTGCTTTTTGTTAACTTACTTATTACTAGTAGAGTCAACATTCTTAATTGCACCTGGCCTAGAAAAACAATTTGTCTTCCATCCCTTCTTTAAAAAGGGGGGGGGGGGGGGTTGGGGATGTGGCTCGGTGGTAGAGCACTGGCCTAGCATGTGTGAGGCACTGGAGTCAAACCTCAGCACCACATAAATAAATAAAATAAAGGTATTGTGTCCATCTACAGCTGAAAAATGTATTTAAAAAAAAAAACCAACTAACTTTGAATTGGGAAGGAAATAGGTGCAAAACATGAAAGCACTATCCTTGGATTAGTTTAAGAGTTGTATTTAGATAATCAAGTGTTATTTAAAAGGCAAATTCTAGGCCTGGAAATGTAGTTCAATGGTAGATTGCTTGCCTAGTAACGGCAAGGTCCTAAATCTGATCTCCAGCACTGCAAAAAAAATTTTTAGATATTTGTTAAAAATAAATACATAAACCGGTGTGATGGCTCTTGCCTGTAATCCAATGATTCAGGAGGATCAAGAAAGAGCATTGCAAATTTGAAGCTAGCCTCAGAAATTTGGGGAGGCCCTGGACAACTTTGTGAGACCCTGTCTCAAAAAATAAAAAGGGCTCAGGGTGTGGTTCAGTGGTTAAGCAAGCGGCCCTGGGTTCAATGCTCACTACCAAAAACAAAAAAGATAAAAATAAAAAAAAAAAAATAAAGTCAACAATGTGAATAAATGTATTGCAGAGCCAGTCATGGTAGTTCATTTTTTTKGGGGGGGAGGGGCTGAGGACTGAACTCAGGGGCACTCAACCACTGATACACATCTCCAGCCCTATTTTATTTAGAGACAGGGTCTCACTGAGTAGCTTAGCACCCCACTTTTTGGTTGAGGCTGGCTTTGAACTTTCTATCCTGCCTTGGCCATTTCAGCTGCTCAGAATACAGGAGTGTGCCACAGCACCTGGCTTTTGGTAGCTCTTGGTAGCCCCAGCGACCGAAGAGGCTGAAACAGAAGGATCACTTGAGCCCACTTGTTGGAGACAAGCAGAACTGGTTCTCGATCAATAAATGAAAAGTACTGATCACATTCTGTTTCCAAAAGATTGATAGCTTCTTAAACATAATTTTAAAATTATATTAAAATTACACATAATTTTACATTATACTAGCAAAGAAGCCAGCTACTATTCTAAGGGAAACTGTTCAACTTTCTATAAGGAATAAAAGTTGACATGAATATACTAAATGTTTTCAAAACCACACTGAAGGAGAGGGCAAGAATTGGTTGGGAACAGAGGGGAATAGATGAACAAAAAAAAATATTTGCAAAATGTATGGCTTACAAAATAACTGGACAAATGCTTATCAAGTGTGATCCTTACAGAAAATGATTTGTACTAATAAAACCTAAGCATGTCTTGGTGCTACAAAGACACTTGCAGAAACAYCCTTTGTATTAAAATAACAAGAAACTTACAAAATCCTCAGCCTCAAACTGTTTGCGTTCTCTTTTATCTTCTTTCCTTCCGGTTTCATTGTCAGGTATGTTGTTTTCATGTAGACCTTGGTTTTTTCCAGAATGGAAAATACTGCTACGAGAACGGGAATTTCCACCATGGTATCCTCCTCGATGATTTATGTTTTCAGTACCATTTCTGCCATGCGTACGCCATCCACTTTTTTCTTTCCTTCCAAAATTACCTTCATTGATAACAGTAAATCAAAGATAGTTATGCATAAAGATTGACAGCAATCAAAGTATCCTTTAAAAACTATGGAAATTATCCATAAATCTTTTCTCAGCAAATTTTACCTCCATTAGAACGTCCAATACCAGAATCAAAGCCATCTGAAGAATTGTGTCTTCGACGATTCACATCATAACGATTTTCCGTCCATGAAAAATTTTCAGAATGCTTCTCAAAATTCAATGATGACTACAACAAATTAGAAACATGTAGATAAATATGCTTATAAGGCCTAAATATAATTTTAGAAATTAGTAACACTCCAACTTATTTCCAAGAACTTCAAATGTTTAACTCAAAGTTTCCTACTATAACAGAGAAGAACTGTCAGCTGAAATTTCAATTTTAAGTTCCCTAGATTTATTTGTAGGCTCTTTATACAAAATAAAAATGTAAAAAGAAAAGAGAATTTTGAAATTTTGAAACAAAATATGAAAAGGATAAAATGTGCAATAACTGTCCAAAAAATTAGCAACATAGATAACTCAATTAATTATAATGGTTGTTATTTAGTACCAATATTATCCCAATTATTTACAAATCAGATAAAATCACAATTACAATTCCCAATAATTTATTAAAGTTTGACCTTCACAAATGAACCTGTAATCCCAGCAGCTCTCAAGATTAAAGCAGGAGGATCACAGGTTCAAAGCCATCCTCAGCAACTTAGCGTTAGGGAGACCCTATCTCAAAATTAAAAAATAAAACAAAATAAAAAGGGCTGGGGATCTGGCTGAGCAGTTAAATGCCCCTGGATTCAATCCTCGGTACAGGTAAGGGTGAAAAAGAAAAATAATTCCCCAAAACAATTTTTTTWAAAAAAAGTCTGAAACAGCACTGTTTAGCAAAGAACATAAAGAATATTTTCATATTCCTGRGGACGGTCTTCTTAGGCAAGATCTAAAATGCAGAAACTATAATAAATATGACTCAAAAAACCTGATATAGTATACAACAAATAAAGCTTATGTACATATTTTAAGAAAAAATTTTTCTCAACACAAAATTTTGAAACGAAATATACATGACCTGTATAAGTCAAACAAATAAGGACAACCAAAAAGAAAAAAAAAATGAATACAAAAAGCATTTCTCAAAGAAATGAAGGGAGGGAAAATCAAATGAAAACCCTAGTTTCTTTAATAATAAAGAAAACACAGATTGGAAACAAAGTGAAAAAAGAAAATGAAACTGGAACAAGGTAGTATTTCCTGTCCATCAAACAGGCATAAATGAAAAAGACAAAATCTAATGATATAATCTAATGATATAATCTGCTGCTGGTGTAAGTATAAAGAGGTAAGGCTTGTCTAACGAAACCTCAAGGAATTACCCAGCTGCCCAAACACCTTAAGTGAAGTAGTCAAACCAGTATCTTTTGAAATTTTCATAAAGTTAGGAAGTAACTGATTGGCCAATTAAATTTACTTGAATGTCAATCAGGTAATGGCAAGGATGTTGGTGAAAAATAAAAAGAGCTTTCAAGCTGCCCTTCTCTTTCTTCTCCATTCTTTTCTTTTCCTATACCTACTTCTGAATTAACTCCATAAAAAWATCTGGATTGAGTACCTGAAGTTTTGAATTACAAAAGACTTCTCTGTTAGTATCTTATTTACAGACAATGCTTGAAAAACATGTCCTACTCTAAACTGGAAAATCCTAATTTAGAAATATTTAGGTATAGAATCCAAGCCATTATCTTACTGAATTATAAATGAACTACTTCTTTTTTCTTTCTGAGATAGGTTCTCATGAAATTGCCCAGGCTAGCCTCGTACTAACAATGCTTTAAGTCTTCAGCAAACTAGTGTGGAAAATCTACATGGCCACCATTCTACCAAATCTTCCAATACCATCATCATCTAATTTGAACTTAGTAGGTCACCAATATGGAAGAATATACATATTTATGTGGAAATATTACAAAGCTAAAAAGTTAACAGTAAAATTCCAGGTCCTAGACATTACTCCACATAATTCAACCTTGCTGTTTCTCAGCCTTAGATACACTAGTAAGCAACCAGTGAATTTCAGCTATTATAAAAGCTAAGGTGATGTAAATAATAATACCTGTTTTTGTGAGGAAGAATAATAATCATCAAAAGAGACCTCCAACTGCTAGAACCTTTCAGGCCCAACATGAGTAGTATACTCAAACTTTCGCCTATACTTCCACAATCAAGATTATCCTCATCATTCTAACTCTTATCAAGCTCTAAYCCAGGATCAACCATATAAAATAAGTTCTCATTTACTGACCAGCTGGAATGGCATAAATTCTTTTATTTTTGTTAAATCATCTAACATAGTAGTTACATCTCTTAAAGCTGTGGCCAAATGTTACTCTTTTTAACCCTTTTAACTAGATTAAATAAAAGAAATCCTAATAGTACCTCTCAACAGTTTATTACTTTACACATTCTCCCAATTCAGTTTCACGTACTTTAATATCCATCACTGAAATCTGCTCTCAAGTACAAAATTTCAACTTCCCATCAGCTCCTTCTGCTCAGGTTGAAAACTCTGAAAGGACTGGGTACTCTTGTGTTCTCTCCCCATGCCAAATCATGATCTCTGAATATACTAAGCTATTTTGTATTACCAAATGAGACAGATCCCTTCCATCCATAGAAAACATACTCTGACCATTAAATGGGAGAAAAAAAACAGGGAAGGAGATTGACTTATTCTGTCCACCAATAACAACATTTTAAATGATGCTGAAGATGGAACAGTTTTATTAATTTCCTACTAGGACTGCACTTAATCCACCAGAAAAATGATCCGATAATTCCACTTTGCTACTGTTTGTGTATATTAAGCTTAATGGGACTTAACTACTRAAAGTTGACATAAATTTAAAATTACACAGTAAAGACAACCATTGTTTAAGATGGGTTGTCTGCACTGAGAGGAAGTTTCATTGGTTACATCAAATATTTTAAACCAAATTGTTACTCTCCAAATAATGGCTTTAGCAGTTATTTTATCCCAACAATACTGTCAACAGGAAGAAGCAAAGGTATACCTTACTTGTTTTCTAGGSAGGACAGCAGTAAAAAGCCATTACTATTTTCACATCTTCTACTGCTGTCACCTTATTTCTCCCATTACATTTCCAGCAGTCTCTCATTTGCACTCAATATGCCACAACTGCAATTTGAAAAATGCATGCCTCCCTAACCAATCCATTTATGGAGCCTTTCTTGTCTTTTATGCTGAATTGTGAACTTTTTATTTATTTATTTATTTATTTATTTTTTTAGTACCAGAGATTGAATCCATATGCTCACACATTCAAGGCAAACACTTTACCACTGAGTTACATCCACAGCCCACCGTTTTTGAGACGGGGTTGCCAAATTGCTTAGGACCTTACTGAACTGCTGAACCTGTCCTTCAATATGCAATCCTCCCATGGCCTCAACCTCCCTAGTGGCTGTTATTACAGGTATGTGCCACCATGTGTTCCTCTTTTAATGTTTAACCCATCTGTCCTTTCTTTGATGTTAAATGTTGACCAAGGCTCTTTCCTTTTTTCCTTTTTTTTTTAATAGTGTTTTAGTTGTAGAGGAACACAAAATATCTTTGTGTATCAATTTATTTTTTATGTGATGCTGAGGATCAAACCAGTGCCTCACACATGCTAGGCAAGCACTCTGCCACTGAGCTACAGCCCCAGTCTTTCTTTCTTCTTGGATGCATTTGTCTACTTCCAACGTTGAAGTACATCCTGAATAATCCAAATCCTCTCTCTAGTCCAGATCTTTCTCCTGAACTCTGTTGATTTCAGATTGTTGTCTCCTAAACATCTCAAATTTAAGCATATTCAAAACTTCTGCATTAATTTTCATGTTTCTATGTCTTAGTAAATATTACCATCATCTGAGTCACCTAAGCCTATACGGGGAAAAACAATTTTATCAGGGGCTGGGGATGTGACTCAAGCGGTAGCGCGCTCGCCTGGCATGCGTGCGGCCCGGGTTCGATCCTCAGCACCACATACCAACAAAGATGTTGTGTCCGCCAAGAACTAAAAAATAAATATTAAAAAATTCTCTCTCTCTCTCTCAAAAAAAAAAAATTCTCTCTCTCGCTCTCCCTCTATCACTCTCTCTTTAAAAAAAAGAAAAACAATTTTATCAGTCATACAGGCAAAGACATTTACAGATGAACAAAACCCAAGATAATTAGTAACTAGCCGACCTACCTTTTAATATATGCTAATAGTCTTTTGGGCTACAAGAAAATGAAACCAAAATAAAATTCAAATACAAAGTAAGGAATAAGGATAACAGTAAAAGTGTTATGGAAATAAGACCCTGTATGTATAATCTCACATTCTCATTCGTCGCCTCCCTCCCTCCCTCTCTGATCCCCCCACCCCCATCTCTCTCTCTCTCTGGTTTCTAAAAAGTTCTCTCCTGATTACTTTAAAAAATAATACCCACTACTGGTAAGATGTGACAAAATTGGAGCCCGCATAGAAATGTAAAATGGTACAGCTACTTTTATCAGTTTGGTAACTTTTAAAACAGTTAAACCAYTAAACATAAAGTCACTGGTTTTTGTTTGTTTGTTTAATGGGGCTAGGGATTGAACTCAGGACAAATCAGTAGAAAAGCTAGACAAACGCTCCACCAACTGAGCTACCTCCCCAGCCCTTTTACAGAGAATGGGGGCTAAATAACCCAGGCTGGCTATGAATTTGTAATCCTACTGTCTCTGGGTAGCCGGGATTACAGGAGTGGACTACCATGCTGGGCATATATATTTATATACTATTCTAACCAGCCATTCTACTTCCAGGTAACTACATAAACTCATACTAATATTCTCAAGAGCATTATTCATAATAGCAAGAAACTGCAATAAACTTCAATGCCAATCAATTTGTGAATGGGTAAAGAAACTATGGTATAACTATATCATTTTTTAAAAGTACTGATACATGATACACTATAATAAAGTTTTTTGTAAATCATGATGAGTGAACCCTTTTTTAAATTTTTTTTTATTCTGACACAGAGTCTTGCTAAAGTTGCTTACTTAGGGCCTCAAGAAGTTTTATTTAATGCTGGCTTTGAAGTTGGGATCCTCCTGTATCAAGCCTCCCAAATTACTGGAATTATAGGTGTGGGCCACCACACCCAACTCTATGGTTCCATTCTGTGAAATTTTCAGAA